ATATTCCAAAGAGCCAAGAAAAGAACCAGTTGTCCTTTAATCCTAGTCCAGCGGTGGTATTATTTTACAGATGCCTTGCCTAACTGCATGGTAATCACGATTTTTTTCCGAATGGCTGTCTGTGGGGAACCCACTAATGTGATGAGGAAATAGATCTTGCATCTGGAATTAAATGGGGGAAAAAACTGTAAACAGTTATTATTGTTTCTAGAGTGTACTAACTTTCTGCTGAAGGAATTTTTGAGTGGTGGAGTGTGGTTAATTTGTGTAGACTACCTTTCTCGGTGCCTTCTCATTTCCAGTAATAAGTATCTGCACTTTTTGTTAGAATGACATTTCTTAGTGCAGGTTGTGCTCCTTATCTAACCTTTGTATTATATGCTTTTGGGGTAGAGATTTTATTTGGTACGTGCATTTAAATCGATAACACGCACAAATTATCAGTATGCGGCATCATGTAAGGGCAGTGGGAGTAGTACAAGTAAAGTTGGGATTAGTTTTGGAAGGATTAAGGCAAGACCTTTTTTTCAAAATCGAAAATATCAACAAATAGTAAATTTCTGGGATAATTGTAATAATAGTAAGCCAGCGGAGAATGGCATAAATAGGTGAAAGCTATCCATAATCCTATCCCAATATAAGGGCACTCACTCCAAGGAAATGTGGGAGGAGTGGTGCCTGGAGGCTGAAATCCATACTCAGCTCACTGGGCTGTGTACCCAAAGCATGGGGTGTGCCTGGAGAAAGCATATTTTCTTGTAGTTCTCAGAAAGGCAGTGTATGAGTGAGCTGCCTGATCTCATCACCCCAGAGACGTCCACTATTCATATTTTGGTATATGTCTGGGCAGACTTAAGAAATGTGTATAATGTTATTATTAATTTTTTTTAACAAAAAGAGATCATACCATAAGTGTTGCTTTATAATCTTTTGAGTATATTGTGGGCATCTTCCCATGTTAATAAATAAAGACCTATATCACCAATTTTAATAGCTGGCTAGTGTTCCATTGTATAGTTAGACGTACTGGGATTTTTTTTTTTTTAAGTTTACTTATGTGTACCGTATGTATACATGGGAGATACCCAGGGTAATAGGAGTAACTCCTGATTTTTTTTTTAACCAGTGCATTATTGTATGTATTGGTCCCTCCTCCTCCCATTCCCTTCATCCTTGTACATTTTTGCAAATTTATTTCCTTGAGATATGTTTCTACTGCTGGAATTTCTGGGTTGTGGATAACATTATGTACGTTTTATATTCTGAAAACATGTTATAGGCTTTTTTTTAAACCTCAGTGCAAATTTTTTCTTTTAGTCGCTTTTGAAATTAATGGCGGGGGGGAATTATTACCTCTATTTTTCTTTTCTTTTTTTTTTTTTTTTACATCTATTTTTTTTTTTTTTTTCTCTTGCGTTATGCGGGCCTCTCACTGTTGTGGCCTCTCCCATTTGCGGAGCACAGGCTCCGGACGCGCAGGCTCAGCGGCCGTGGCTCACGGGCCCAGCCGCTCCGCGGCATGTGGGATCCTCCCGAAACGGGGCACGAACCCGCGTCTCCTGCATCGGCAGGCGGACCCTCAAGCACTGCGCCACCAGGGAAGCCCTTACATCTATTTTTGACCTAGGTAAATTTGCTGGGCTGCTGGCATATAGAGAAAACCTTTCTCTACCTCAAGGATTCTATAAAGACATTCATTTAAGATGTTTCCTGATTTTATTTTTTACATTCAAGTCTTTAGTACATTTGTCCCATGTAATCTGAGGTTCCTCTCCAAGTGCATTATATGTGTTAAAAACACATGTTTAAAAAGCAGTTTTGCAGTTTACCTTGGGGATAAAGTGAAAATACTACGTTTCATCTCATTGCCTTATTTAAAACAGCTGTGTGAAGAATTTGATTAGCTTCTTGTATATTTGGCTAATATGTGACACTTGGTTACAGCAGTTTCAAAATGCTTATATAAATGTACTTACCTCATTCCATCTTCACAGCTTTCTACGTACACCATGTAGGTGATCAAAGAGTTCCTAAGAGCTGTTTTCTCAAGCTGGACAGTAAGGATGCATCAGGAATAAGTAGTTGCCTTTTATGAAAACACAGGACAAAGAAAATTTAGCACCTTGTGGCTGGCTGTGTTGCAGATATTAAACCTAAATGCATTACGTACAATTAGAGTAAAAGGCAGCTCAAAGATCATCTAGTGTTATTTAATTGTAGACAGTGGACCATGTGTTGCAGTTAACATTTTTAAAAATAATGAAATAGAATAGAAAAATTATCAGTTTATTCTGCCTAATAAGTTTATTCTAAGGGAAAATGTCATTCTGTGAAACCTTTTGTATTTTGGATATTCAGATACCCTGATGTAAAATGTGTTTCTTACTGTGGCTCACAATCAAGAAAAGGTTGAAAGCCACTAATCTAGCCCTGTGCCCTCATTTTCATACGTGAGAAAATTGAACCCACAGATCTGATCTGTCAGAATTCACTTTCTCAGTGTGCTCCGCAACGGGAGAGGCCACAACAGTGAGAGGCCCGCGTACCGCAAAAAAAAAAACATGATGTAATGTCATTTAATGACATCTGCTTGTGGGCTTCTTTGGAGTTCATTATCTTAAGGTTATCTGTCAATAAATGCCTTATTTTAACATGGACCTAAAACTCAAGTTACTGATTCCAAGCAGGGTCAGGATTCTGGACCAAAACTACTAATATCTACATTTTGTTCATGTGCTTCTCTTTTATTATAGGTGCATGAAGTGCTGTTTTTTCAGTCACCTGCTCCCATTCTGGGTTATGCCTCAGTAAATGCTCTGCTTTGGAGATTAGGCTCCATCCCATCTTGGGTGTCTGACTGTAGGGGAGAAGGCAAGTGTGTTTATTTTCCCAGTTTGTAAGGTATTCTTTGTCCTGTGGAGTGACGTATTAAAGAAACTTTACAAAAATTTGCACTGTTGGGAAAGTAACAGGACTTGCCTTACCCTGTGTGCAGGCTATAAATATGAAGGGCAGTGGTGGGTGTGGCAGCGGCAGCAGCTGAGGCTAACCGAGCTGTCCCCCAGCAGGAGGCAGCACTTCTGGACTGCTAGTGGAAGGGAGGGAGGGGGCAAGTGTGTGTGTGATGTTCCAGATACCTTTGTAATTACAGTAGTATGTGCTTTACTGTGTTAAAGAGCAGCCTCCCCTCACCCCCGAAGTAATTCCATTTCTTTGAAATTGACTTTTGAATTTATATTTTTAGAATTAATTTAGTCGTATTAAAAGAAGTTTAAAAACCCTCCTGTCCTTAGTAGCAACTTTACTGTGATTTATCGTTGTGTTTGATTAAGGACCGTTTAACGCTTTTATGTTCCAAACACTTTTATTGAAATATGCCAAGAGTACATGGGCAGCACACATGTATGAGCAGGAAAAAAAATCACATGTACAATAATTTTTAAAAAGTGAAGGTTCCCCTTCCCCTCCCCCTTTCTACTTCCGGCATTTCCATTACGGTTAAGCCTCTACTAAGCTAGCATTTAAAGAAAAGGAATTGTGTAATAGGAAAAAAAATTAACTTTGGAAGATAAATTTATTATGTTCTAATTATGCATTCATTATATTGATTTTGAAGTAAAACCTGTCATCTTTAATCACATAGAGTAACCACTGTTAACATTTTCCTATGTATAAAGTTTTTTCAAATGTGTAAATAAAATTTGAAAATACAGTTAGATATACCTAGTTTGATCACTTAACGTTTAAGGGGAATGTTTTTTATTCCTCTGCCACTTTCTGTTGGGGTATCCCTGGCCCTCTCCATCACCTCTGTGGGGACTGTCCACACTTCCTGCTAGAACTTACATGTTCTGGTGGCTTTAGCTATTATCTCCATTTGAGACCCCCAAATCTGCATTTCTAGTCCCTAAGACTTTTTTGTATTCTTATTACCAAATACCTGTCAGAAGTCTTCGGTTGGCTGTTTCATGGGCACCTCTTCGTGTAACTCTGTTGCCCTCGGGGCTCCTTAGCATGACATGCAGACTCTTTGCAGTCTGGTTGGCATATTTCTCTCCTGTCATCTCTGCTGTTCCACATAGTTCTCTCCCACTGCTTTTGGGCCTGTTTCCTAGCTTCCAAGCCTCTCCTTCCTTCAACTTGGCCTGGCTACTCAGGTGTCAGCTGTGATGGCCTGATCTCTGGTAAACATTTTCGAACCATTCTTTGCCTTGAGACTGGGTCAAGTGCTCCAGTGTATTCTATGATACCTTTTTCTAGTATAGTATTTATGACTTCAACAGTATTGTTGCCCGCTTATTAGACATAAGCTTCTTATTCACATCTTACCCGTCTTGAATTCCCTAACGCCTAGCCTGTTGCCTGGCACTTAGTGGGAATGTAATAAGAAGTGGTTGAATGAATGAACAGTATTATGAAATGTTCCCAGTCTAATTAAATGTAATTAGTCTTCTGCAACATTGTTTTTAATGTCTTTGATGGTTTTGGTGTATCATAGCATAATGGTTCACCCAGTGTTTGGGCATTTTCCTTTTTTTTTTTTTTTCCTTTTTGCTACAGCACTGATGGTTTTCATAGTTCAGTGTTCAGAAAAAGCTTCCACTTAACTTTCTCAGGGGAGACTCAGCTGAGTTTGACATGCCCGGGTCGTGCATCTGATTAGGATAACAACCAGGGTAATTGTCCAGGCCTCCTGTGTCCTGCTTTATTGCTCTGTTCTGCTTCTTATATGGCTCTTATGAGAACTTCATAAAGATTTTTTTTTTCTTTTTAAACTTACCTGCTCTCAGATTTAATGGGGGTTTATTTAATAGTGTCATCCTCTCCCTACAGGGTGCTATTTAACTAATAATATTTTTAAAAAGAATGCCCTAACTTAACAACCTCCCCATATCTGTTTAAACTTTGTTACTGAGTCATTGGTGGAGCTGGCTCTTATTTATGACTTCCTCCTAGTATTTTGCTGATGCCATGGTAAGGAATTGACCCTTGTCCACAGCATGAGGTACTTTGCTTTTGATGGTTTCTGGCCAGTTGGCAGTATCTGGTCCGTAAAAGTGGCCCTTACCCCTACTCCATACTTCTCTAGCCATTCCTTTCCTGGTTCTCTTGTTTCCTAGATGTAGATTTCCCAGGTGCTGTCTTTGGCCTTGTTTTCTTTTCATCTTCTTCATCTCATAAAACAATTGCAAAGATTACTGACAGATTTTACTTCTTGGTTAACATCTCTCTGAGATTCCAGTTGCTTCCTGCATATCCCATAAACCTGAGAGTGAGGCTTAGACAACTCCAGTACCTTGTTTATCAACTGATAAACAGAGCTCTTTCCCCTTCCTCCACTGAAGTTGTGAGTTGCTTCTGTATTTGCAATTTTTGAAGACTGTCACTACCATTTCTGTCATCTGGGCTCTGAACCTGGCCAAACCATGTACAATTGTACTTCCATAACATCTCTTGAATCTCTTGGTGACCCACACCCTCATTACCACTGCTATAGTTAATTCAGGAATTAATTTTCCTGAATTAAATTAAAATTAAATTAAATTAAATAGTTACTTCAGGAATTTTCTCTGACCTACTCACCACTGCCCCACCTCACTCCACCCTCCAGTATCTTGTGAAAACAGGTATTCAGAGGGAGCCCAGGGTGCTTGTTTTTCCTAGCTTCATAATGCTGACCACCTGTTGCACATTGCAGAGCCCTCAATATTCCCACCAACCCTGCCCCACTTTTTCAGGATCTGGTAGTGCCTTTTCTTGTAAATTCTCTGATTAAAAAACTTAAAGCACCAGATGAAGATCTTTTGTAAATTTATCTCAAAATTGGTCCTAGTTTAAAGAGACCACTGGCTTTCTAACTTTTATCTGCTGCTTATAAAAAGTATAGTGTTGTTGACTGGGGAAGTTGGGCTCTTCTGGTGCAGCCCCAGAAAGATCCAAGGAATCAGTTAGAATCATTGTGACCTAAACCAGTGTAACTTCACTGCTATCAGATTATTTCTAAGGCTGCAGCTTTGGTCGAGCTACTCCCTATACCCCAAAGCTGTTGGGATCCCCACTGCTTTCAGGTTTAAATCAGTTCCAGACAGCCTGGTATTCCGGATATATTACATATTGGCTTAGAACTACATCTCCAACCTTATATAATCTGTCATTTTACACCCTGCTCCCTGTACATACACCACATGTCATAGCCAAATGGGTATGTCTAAGGCACCTTGGTCTGGAATGCCCTACTCATTCCCTCTCCCATGCCCTTCATTCTCTGCATCATAAATTCTCCCCTGCTTCATAGATCTAGTGCCCTCTCTGCCGTAAGCCTTCTCGGACTTGCCCAGGTGAAAATAATACATTTATCGTCTATAACACCTAAAAATTTTGTATCCTGGATTAGAGTTGTTTATATACATTGCTCCCACTAGCGGGATGTTCTCACAGAGCAGGAATCACAGGTGCATTTTATGTCCCTACAACATGTAGCACATAGTAAGCACTTACTATTTTTTGATGAAGAAATTGTCATTTAGTCAGTTTCCACTTGTGATTCACCTGGTCGTTGGGCTAAAGTTGAGAGTATTTTGGTTAATTGGTATTAGCTCCACACTATGAAAGTCTTGTTAGTGGAGAAACTTGTTCATCATTCCCCTCAGCTCACCATGATTCCGTTCCACTAAATTTCTAATTCATTGGAGTTTCCAGATAGGGCATCGTAGTCAAAGTGAGCCTGTGGGCCTCTGTATTTTTGCTTGATAAGTCTTAGAAGTTTACCAGTATACTGAGAAGATGATCAGACTGGGATTCAGAATACAGACCTGAATTAGAATTCCACATCTCCATCTAAGCTTAGGTAAGTCATTAAAAATCTCTTGGTCTTAGTTTCCTCTGTAAGGGAGAAGTTGCACGAGATAGTTTCAGATGTCACGTTGGAATGAAAAACAAGGCCTATATAAAGGCTTTTTGAACAGGAGGCTGCAAACTTTTTCTTTAAAGGACCAGATAAATATTTTAGGCTTTGCCAGGAATGCAGTATGTGTTGCAGCTACTCAACTCTGCTGTTAGTAGCTTGAAAGCGGCCGTAAACAATATGTCTACTAGTGGCCTAGCTGCGTTTCAGTATTTTATTTACAAAAACAGGCAGCAGCCATGATTTGCTGACCTATGCTTTAGAAGTTAGTTAGTGGTCAGCGTAGGCTAATCCAAGAAACCTGAACGTGTCTTAAATGGAATGTGGACTCTTGGCTTTGTTTTTTTTCATGTAACAAAAGTTACTTCATTATTTGAGTTTTTATAGTACAGATGTGAATAGTCAGTAAGTCCACTGTCATCGTCAGCTTCTTCCCTGGGTAACCACTGTTACCTATCATACTTTTTAAAACCTATGTGGCATATCCACTTTGGATAAAGGTCTAACAATTTCCTGTACAAGTAAATATACACTTACCCCATGATCCCCAGCAGTTTACCCAAGAGAAATGAAAACATATGTCCACAAAAATACGCGAAATATTCATAGTAGCTCCAAACTGGAAAGAGCCCAGGTGTCCAGCAGTAGAATGGATAAACAAACCAGTGTCCACACAGTGGAATACGACTCAACAGTAAAAAGGAGCAAACTACAGATAACACAAAACATGGGTGAATCCCACAATTAGGCTGAGCAGAAAAGAAGCTTTACCAAAGAGAATATACTGTATAATTTCATTTCTTTGAAATTCTAAATCAAGCAATACTTACCTATGCTGGGGAAAAGCCCAGAATGGTGTTTGCCTCTAGGATGGTGGTCATGGGGATTGACTGGGAAGGGGCATGAGAACTTTATAGGGTGTTGGCAGTGTTCTGTATCTTGATAGCTGTTTGAATCATAGAGGTGAATGTATTTCTCAACAACCGTGTCATGGTACCTTGGAGATTTGTGTATTTCACTGAATGCAATTTTCCCTCAATTTTAGTTAATATAATGTTGAAGTATTTAGGGGTTAAGTGTACTGACATCTGCAACTTGAAATTCTTAAAAAAAAAATAGATAGTGAATAGATAAGAGGTAAATATAGTAGACTTTACTGTAGAATCTAGGTGGGGTTTATGCGTGTTCACTTACATTTCTTTTAACTTTTCTGTGTATTTGTAAGTATTCCTAATTGGATATTGGAGAAAAAAGAATACATGAATATATTGTTTGTCTTCACTGCCTTCTACCAGTCGCAGTCTTTCCCACAGATAATGATTGCTTATCAGTTTTCCTACCAGTCCTTTTTCAACACACTTATATATGTGTATATGTATATATATGTGTGTGTGTGTGTGTGTGTATGTATATAAGTATATATGGACTATAGGAATAATTAATTTTCCACTTTTACATGAGTAATAGGAAGAATGTATGTTCTAGAACTTGCTTTTTTTCACTTAATATGTCTTGACTGTTTCCATGTCTCTGTCTGTCTCTCCCCCCCATTTATTTATCTCATTCCTTTGAGTCATTGCATAATATTCCATAGTGTAGGGATATATATCCAAGATATATATATATATATTTCTTTGTGATGAATATTTAGATTGTTTGCAGTTTTTCTCTTGCAAATTGTGCAGTGCATGTGTGCAACTATTTATCCAGGGTAGTCACTGAGAAATGGAATCACCAGTTTATAGTATATGTTTATTTTTATATTAATTTATTGTCCTCCAGTAAAGCTGTACCAGTGTATACTCTCACCAGCAGGGATCAAATTACCTGTTTCCCGTCAACTTTCTGAGCGTTGGTTATCATCACTCTTTAAAAATTTTTGCCAGTTTGATGGGATGCTGGTGTCTTGGTTGGTTTAATTTGCAGTATCTCTGATAATTGCAACTTATGTTTGCTCAGTTTTCGTTTCTTTACAGCGACCTGCTCGTCTTTTTGCTGTCTTTTGTCTCTTAATTCTTTTATTTTAAAAATTGTACTTGTTTAAATAAATATTATTACAAATTTAACAGTCTTTTATAGGCTGTTCCTGATCACTTATCTCAAAATATATTGAATAATCCATCATTTTCTCACTGATTTGAAGTGCCCGCTTTGTTACATGGATTTTATATCGATCCTTTCTTGATTATTGTTATGTTTTGTTATTAATCTGTATCTCTGTTCCTGTGTCATTATCACTCTGTAGCATGTAAGCTCTATGTAAGCGTTTAAAATAAAATAAATTTGTGAAATCTGTGCGAGTACTGTCTGTTTAGTTTTGGTATCTGGAGAGTGCTAGCCTTATAAAGATTTAGGTAACTTACAGAGCATACAAAAAGGATAGCTCGTGTGTAGAGAAAGAATCTACTTGAAAATTGGGAGAACTAAAGCCGTTTGGACATAGTGTCTCTTTTAGGGATAGAGCTCTTTATTTCTTGTAACAACTTCTGATTTGAATATGTTTATTTTCTTTAAAAATCATATATTTCATCTATTTTCGAGCTTACTAGTTGGAAATTGGTTTTATTGATAAAATTAATGTTTTTTTTGCATTTGTTTCCATTAACTTGTGCTTGTATCTTAAATCTCCTACTTTCTTTGAATTTATTTTACTCTTGAATTTAAAACCTGGCTTTTTTGGTTAGTCTGGTTTTTTAGTGAATGCGTATAAGGCTATGGATTTTCCTTTGTGTTCTGCTTTGGCTACATGATTGTTTTGAATTTTGAATGTTTTGGGTTTTGTTGTCTTTTTAATCCAAAGGTTATTTAGCAGTCCATTTTCTAAATTTTTGTTATACTTCTCTAACATACTTTGATTTTGAAAAATGTGGCCTTGATTTTTTTTTTTTTTTTTAGGTTTGTTATTTTTTATTTTGTTTTGGTTTGGTTTTTTGAAATTTAAGTCGTGGTCAGTTTTGAGGCAATGTTCCAGGTTTATGAAGAGTATATTTTCTGGTGACTATAAAGTTTTACATATATTAAATAACTATTAGTTGTGTTTTTAAAATATTATCCTTTTTGTTATTGTTTACCTGATCTGTGGATTTCTGGAAGAGGTACGTTAAAATCTCTACAGATGATTGTGATAAATTTTGCTTTACATATCTTAAGCCACTTAGCATCACAAATGTTATGGCTTTTATGCTGTATCTTCTTGATGTGTTTTGTTTACTTTTTATTAATAGAGAATATCTTTGCTTTGTTAGTACCTTTTGACTTGAATTCTAAATAGTTTGCTTACAGGAATAATGCCACTTCTACATTTCTTTTTGCTAGCCAAGATCTACTTTATTTTCAACCAGTATGTGTTATAATTTTAGGTTTCTATCTATAAATAGCATTTATTTATAGTGCTATAAGGTTTTCTTTAACCCACTTTGAGAATGTCTTTTATTAGACTACTATTAAATTATTCCTACCTTAATATTTTGGGGATTTTTACTTGTTATTAAATTAAAATCAAATTTTAACCATGTAAAATACAGACTAATGTAGTGGCAAAAGGAGATCATTGGCTGGCTGAAGGATGTACAGATTGCGAACGGGCACAAGGAACCTTTCAGAGGTGATAGAAATGTTCTGTATCATTAGTGTAGTGGTGGTTTCACAATACATGCAACTGTCTACTCATTGGGATTGTGCACTTGGAATCAATGAAAATTATTGTATGTAAGTTATTCCTCAGACCTGATAAGGAAAAGAAATTAAAATCAACACTTAACTTAGATGTTACCAGCAAGTCTTACTGGTTTCTTTGCTCACCATTGCTTTATATATTTAAAAACTTTAAAAGAAAGAAAACTTTAAAAACTGAAAAATGTACAATTATATTAGCTTTTTCTAGAATTTAGTCTGTGAACTTTGTCCTTTTTTTTCAGGTTAGATAATATATAAGTTTTTCTTCCAAAAAGAAGGAAATGAAGACAGTGTAGCTAAAACTTAAAGCCTCCTCAGTTTGGAATATACTGTTTTATTTTTGGCTGATGAGATATCTGTCAGTCATATTTCTCTGCTCTAGGTAAAACCCGTTTTATCTTTTTAGAAGCTTTAAGAAATTTTCACTTTATTATTAGTGTTCTGAAATTTTACCTTTTTCTATCTAGGTATAGGGTATTTTCTAATATTTTTCAATCTTTTCCAATCTAGACACAAAATGTGTTATTTCTTTGGGCATTCCTCCCCATCCCCTTTTCTGGTGGAATTCCTGTTAGATTTATTGATATTCTGTCTCCCGTGTCTCAACAATCTCCATACACTCTCTCTTTCTTTTTGCCCAGTATTGTAAAACACCTTGGTTCGATCTTTTAGCTCACTGAATTTTTCTTTGGCTTGGCTAGTTCTCTAGGTTAGGCCTTCTTCCAAATTTTTGTTTTTTAAATAGCTTTATTGAGGTATAATTGTGACATATGGTAAACTGCACGTATTTAAAATTAAAATGTATAACTTGAGTTTTGATGTGTATTCACCTATATGCATATACATATATTGTACCCATGGAACTATCACTCTAATCAAGATAATGAAAATATTCATCACTCCCCAGATTTCCTCTTTCCCATTTGTAATCCTTTTCTTTCCCTACCTCCCCAGTATCCAGGCAAAAATAGATCTGCTTTTTGACAGTTTAGATTAGTTTGTATTTTCTGAAACTTTAAATGCATGGAATCATGTAGCGTATTCTCTTTGGGGTCAGGAGTGCTGAGTTGTTTCGTTCAGCACAGTTACTCTGAGAAGTAGTTCATGAATAGTATTCCATTGTATTATATACCAGAATTTATTTATTAATTCATCTGTAGATGTGCTTTTGGGTTGTTTGGAGTTTTTAGTGGTTACAAATAAAGCATTACGAATATTCATATACTTCTGCGAACGTGTGCTTTCGTTTTTCTTGGTTAAATATCTAGGAATGGATTGGCTGGATCCTATCATAGGTATATGCTACTAACTTTTCAAAAAATTGTTTTCCAAAATCGGTTTTTGTTTTGGCACATTCCCGCCAGCAGTGTATTAGAGTGTCAGCTGCTCCGCTCCTAGATCATCACTTGGTATGGTCAGTCTTTAGAATTTCTAGCATTCTGGTGAGCATGTAATGGTTTTGATTTGCCCTTCCTGGATAACTAGGCATGTTGAGTATGTTTTCATGAGCTTTATTGTTTTGCAATTCTCATTACATCTTTGATGAAGTTTCTGTTCAAAACTTTTGTCCATGTTTTAGAAATTTGTTTTGTTGTAAGAGTTCTTTATATATTCTAGATGCAAATAAGTAATTTATTGGTTTCATATTATGCAAAATATTTTTCCCAGTCTTTGGTTTGCTTTTTTGCTAGGTGTCTGGATTTTTTTTTATTATTATTTGACTCTTCTCCAGTTCAGCTATCTGCTAAGTTTTTAAATTTTAACAATCAGAATATGAAATCAGATTTTGAAAAATTATCCTCTTACCTTATACTCTGTATTTTAATTATACTCATGTTACCCCCCCGGTTCTGTACCCTGTTACAACCCAGTTTTTTCGGGCATTACTTTCTTTGTTGCGTTTGATACTTTATTGGATTAGTTTTTCTTCTCAGTATTTTGTAATTATTGGTTCTCTGCATCTCCTCTTTGTATTTAGACTTCCCTGTCATAGCATTCAGGGACGAGGCATAGGTAGCCAAGAGCTGGTTAGATATGGAGATTCTCTATGGAGAGATTTATATTTTTGCCAACCCATCCAGGACCTTGCCCAGTTTTTATCCCAAACCCCAGTGTTCCCTTCTTCATAGCATGTACAAAAATTAACACACAGTGGATCAAAGACCCAAACTTAAAGAGCTAAAACTAAAAATTCTTAGAAGAAAATATAATTACAAGTCTTCATGACTTTGGATTAGGCAAGTGGTGTTTTCGATATGATACCAAAAGTCAAGCAACCAAGGAGAAAAATAGATGTTGGACTTCCTTGAGATTAAGAACTTTTCTGCTTTAAAGGACACTGTTGGCGCCCAGCGGGGCATGGCGTCTGAGCAAGGCGGGCATCGGCTGGCGGCCAGTGCTGGGTCCTGGGCTGGGGCCGAGAGCCAGGGCAGGCAGGGCCACTTTCTGCAGCTCGCTGGCCGCGACGACGGCGCAGGCGCCAGCGAGGCCCGTGGGGAGTGGCGGCGCAGCCCGGTGGGTGGAGACCGTTGCCCGGGCCCTGGCCCGCACTCAACCGGAGCGATGCTTTCTTTCCGCGCTCGGGGAGCTGGTGCAGTGGCTGGGCTTCGCTCCCCTCGAGGTCTTCGTGCACCTGATGGCCCTGTCGGTGTTCTCCGTGCTGCTGGCCCTGTGTGTGGACGGCCTGGCTTCTGGCCTCTCCTGGTGGAACGTGTTCATGTCCTTCTTTGCCGCTGACCGGCTCAGCACCAACTTCACCACTGTTGTCTCCGTGCGCCTCTTCCAGGACGGAGAGAAGCGGCTGGCCGCGTTCCGCCTTTTCTGGATACTCACGGTTCTTAGCCTGAAGTTCGTCTTCGAGATGTTGTTGTGCCAGAAGCTGGTGGAGCAGACTCGGGAGCTCTGGTTCGGCCTGATCACGTCTCCGGTCTTCATTCTCCTGCAGCTGCTCATGGTCCCTGCCTGCCGGTCAACTAGGCTCGCAGAAGAAAAGCTAGAATGCGGGACCCCACGCTGAGGTCCCACTTCCGCCGCACCAGAGGAGGAGTCTTGGTCTGAAAGCCACCTTGTGCCCTGCTGAGTGCCCAGCTTCCCCTCTAAAAGTCATGTCTGAAATTGTTCCCTCAGCAGGGCTGAAAAGAGCAGCCTTGATTCTTAAAACGTATTCCCTCTTATTTCATGCTTTGAATAGCTAATCTTGAATTGAGATCCTGAGAAGGCCAGACAGTCCTGAACTCCTCTGACAGTTGGAAACTGCATATAAGTAAAATGTCCTGATGGGCTCTGAGTATTATCATGGATCCTGGGAAAGTACCCACTGGGCAAAGGCTGCAAAGCTGGACTCGGGATTTCCCCAGGCCAGCAGTGCTGACCTGAGAGCTTACTGTCCCATTCCCCCAGACAAGACTTCCTTAGATGCTTGAGCTCTAAAAAGTGTAACCAGGCAGACAGGAGTATGTTGAATAAGCATGATCAGGACCCTATCTGGGTATCTGTCGCCTGAGAAAAGAACTTGCTTTCAAGGCACTGCTTGGTTTCCTATCCCAGCAGATTGCAGTGTCACAACTTTTCCACCACCTCGTGGCCAGCACTGTTAGTGCGCCTGAGACCTTTAGGCCACCCTAAGGGACTAGAGAGAGGAATAGGTGCTCTGATGCGCATAGCCATTGAGACCTACACATGGGAAGTTTGCAGATGGTCTCAGCCCACGCCTGTCGGCCTAAGGGCTTTGGTTTGATGCCAGTCGGGTGCCAAATGAGAACATTTGCTGAGATAAAAATAAAATAAGAATGTTTTGCTGAAAAGAATAATAATAAAGGACACTGTCATGAAAGTGAAAAGACAACCCACAGGATGGGAGAAAATAATTGAACATCATGTATCTGACAAGAGCTTGTGCCTATAATATATAAAGAACTCTTAGAACTCAATAAAAAGACAACCCAATTTAAAAATGGGCCAAGGATCTGAATAGACAGTTCTCTAAAGAAGGTACAAATGACCAATAAGCTCATGAAAAGATGCTCAACATCATTAGTCATTAGGGAAATGCAAATTAAACCCACTAGGAAGTATTAATGAGAATGTGGAGAAATTGGAATCCTGCTGGTGGGAATGTAGAATGTTGTAGATGCTTTGGAAAATAGTCTGGTACTTAACTCAAAATACTAAACAGAATTACCATATGACCAAGCAGTTCCACTCATAGGTGAATGAAATGTGAATTATATTCAATAAATAGCTCCTTAAAAAAATTTGAATATACAAAGGACTTTAAATTTGTACTTGTCCATATAATTGATTTTTAAAAAAATTATACCTGCCTCTGCTTTAAGTTATTTTTAACTATAAACAGGTTATTAATTTATTTACCAAGGGGAAGTTGTTTCTCATCAGAACTCTCTGAGGATAAGGCATAATCTTTCTACTGTCTAGGTACCCTCAGGTAACTAGGAAGTTTGCAGAAGTAGGGAGTCAGATCACACGGTCTCAAAGTGTGTTGAACGGGTGTGGATGTCCAGGCCTTGATGAAGCCTAATGACTTACCTGTTCCCTGCTTACTACATTAACTAGCGCTGAGGCAGACATGGCACACTGAACAGGTCCCATCTGCACTACCTATTACTCAGGTAGCGTAGCTCAATTCGTTTCATCCCTGTCATTGTCAGGAATGCATCTGAGTAAATAACTGCAAGATACTGATACATAAGAACAGCAGTTTACAGCTTCTGTTTTTATTTTCAGGTATTTTTTTCCTTAGTGTAGGAGAAAGGCGGTTAAGTTGATAAAGTACTGCCATCCTTGTGAGTGGTCTTTCGTATATGGTTTTTACAAGTGAGATTAATTTTAGTTTTTTTTTTTTTTTTTTTTTTTTCTTGCGTTATGCGGGCCTCTCACTGTCGTGGCCTCTCCCATTTGCGGAGCACAGGCTCCGGACGCGCAGGCCCAGCGGCCATGGCTCACGGGCCCAGCCGCTCCGCGGCATGTGGGATCCTCCCGAAACGGGGCACGAACCCGCGTCTCCTGCATCGGCAGGCGGACTCTCAAGCACTGCGCCACCAGGGAAGCCCTAATTTTAGTTTTTAAATGTTAAGTTTGTTCTTGGCGAGAGGATCTTATCAAGCAGGGGAAATTGGCTTCAGTGCTGAAAATCACTTATCTACTCGGTACACTCCCTACATTCAAAATTGACTTAATGGCCACTAGTACATGACATCAGGTTTGGGACATGGCTGTTAATCTGTGTATCTATTTTATGAACCTAACTTTTTTTTTTTTTGAGATTTTTTTGATGTGGACCATTTTTAAAGTCTTCATTGAATTTGCTACAATATTGCTTCTGTTTTATGTTGTGGTTTTTTTTGTTTTTGTTTTTTTTGGCCCCGAGGCATGTGGGATCTTAGCTCCCCGACCAGGGATGGAACCCGCACCCCCTGCATTGGAAGGTGAAGTCTTAACCGCTGGACCACCAGGGAAGTCCCAACCCAACTCTTTATAGGAAGTTTTTACACTTTAGTTCGTGTTTGCTATATGTTCATTTGCTTTGTAACCGTTTTTATAAATCCGCTTTATATTATTTTTCCTGAAAATTTAAAATCAAATTTGAAAATGGTAAGCATATTTTCAGATGACTTTGAAACACCGTTAAATAATTAAACTCCTGGCACTTCTGTTTTAAACTTCTCCAGTTTAATATCTACTGCGTCAGTTGACAAACTACTGTGGCCTCAGTCTGCCTGCTCTGTAAGTGAGGCTTTATTGGATGGAACACATTCCCCACTCATTATCACATTTATATATTTGTACCCTGGTCTGCTCTGTGGAGGAGTTTATCCATTAGTTCCTACAAATACCCAGATCTGAAAGAATGGTTTTTCTTCTGTATCTCATTAAACCATCCTTTGGGCTTTGCACGTATTTCATCTACCTCTGTAGTAAACTGATCACTTCTTTGAGATTGGTCTTCCTTTGTGTTTCTGCAACAGGATCACTCTGTGTGATAGGGAAGTGATGCTGTCTGGAGGCGACATCCTGTGCTCCTTTCTTCCTTCTGTCCTTTCGCTCCCTATTTTGGCCTCCTGGTAATTGGGGCAGGGGGAGGACGGGGAATGCTGGTCTAAATTAAAATGAAATTGCTTTAACTGTTTCCCCTTTGCTTAAAAAAAGGGAAGGTAGTTTCCTGGCCCGCAGGTAACAAATGAAAGTTATCTAGCTTTTGCCACAATCTGTTTCCGGGTCACAGGGTCTTTTGAGCATCACAAGAACGTTGTAGAGCCACTCCGCAGAAGAAAAATGGATATCTTCAGAAGTGTATTATTACAGAAGTCATAGAAACTCTGAAGTTAATCCTTCTGGGGATGAGTGAGGGTGAAGGGTCCATAGATTCCAGGTTAGGAACCCCTGCTCTAGCCCTTCTACTAGGACAAATATTAATAAGCAGGTTTATGTTAAGACTGGAAAATGAAGCTGATGTTTATTCAACTTTGGGGAATTAAGTGTTCTTTACTGTTGCTGTAACTGGGGATTTATTGAATATTCTTTGATCAGGTTTTCTTTTGGCCGTGCTGCGTGGCATGTGGGATCTTAGCTCCCCAACCAGGGATCCAACCCGTGCCCTCTGCATTGGAAGCGCAGAGTCTTAACGATTCGACTGCCAGGGAAGTCCCCTTTGATCAGTTTTTAAATGTTCAAATATAAATGTGTGACATTAACAATATATTCTAGTATATAATCTTGATGGTGACCACTTACGATGTTAGAGCTTTGAATATAGACATTTGAGAAGAAAAATTCTAGATGTTCACAAAATAAATCACTGGCTTAGGATAGATCTTAGTGTTTCCAGATTGTGAAGAAAAAAAGGTTAAGCCCTTGATGTTGAAACTTGCGTCTGCCAGCTCTTGCTGCGTGCTTAGCAGTGGAGTTGTCAAGTCCCACTGGTTGGGATGCTCCTCTCTTCACTTCTGCATAACGCTTCCACTCAACCAGTGTTTCCAAAACTTTATTCATTGATACCAGCTTCATGATTTACCTTCTCTGCATGTTTCCTGGCTATTCTCTAAATCAGCTCACTTTTTAAAACCCAAATTTATGCTAATAACTACTGTGAAATACAGGGTTGATGGGCTAATTCTTTTTTTGTTTTTTGGCCGCCTGTGAGGCATGCAGAACTTCCCCTAGGATTGAACCCATGGCTCCTGTAGTGGAAGCACGGAGTCTTAACCACTGGACCACTGGGGAAGTCCAATGTGTTAATTTTTTTGTTTGTCACATATACATACTGGGGGTTTTGTCCAACCTAAAATCATCCTTTTTCTTTCTAGAGAGCATTAACTCCATTTCGGGAAATACTCCCTTATGTGCTGGAATTTTAAAGCTCTGATCTTGAATCAGTATGATCTGTGGAAGCTACTTGTACTTGGAAGTATCAGAGGAGAGGAGGGGGTCCCAGGTTGTGGGTGGGTGCTGCCTGCTGAAATACCCCTTCCTTGGGCAAATTCATATCGCTCTGAATATGAAGATACTTGGCTGTGTGCATGGCAAAGCTTGGAGTTTTAGCCTTGCAATGATGGGTCTGTTTTTTTACCCTGGCCACATCACTCACACACACACACACACACACACACACACACACACACACACACACACACACACACACACACACACTGTGCATATCTTCAACTTTATGAGTTTTATTTTCTTTTACAGGTTTGATCTTGCTCTTCTACCTAGTCTTTTATGGGTTCCTGGCTGCACTCTTTTCATTCACAATGTGGGCTATGCTTCAGACTCTGAACGATGAGGTTCCAAAATATCGTGACCAGATTCCTAGTCCAGGTAATTAATTATGTTGCGATTATCATGGCTTCTAACAAAATTGGGTTATACTTTGTCTTCTCCGTAAGTCTGTATTATATAGCTGGTAGAAGATGTTAAACTTTAGGGTTAGATAATGTGAAAGTTTTGATTTTGTTTGTTGTTTAATATTTACATAGTGATATAAAGACCTTTAATATT